CTTACTTGTATTTGACTTGGAACGTGATTCAACAAAATAGTTCTTAGGCGAATGGACCGCCACTGTGAAACGCAACTATCGGGAGTTGAACCCGAGTCTGCGTAGGAATTTTGGAGAGCCCTTGTACGAATTTGGCTACGCCGTGCTGACCGCTGCACCATAGTTGCTTGATGATAGTTCACCAATACGCCGCCCATACAACGAATGAAGGAAACATGTTTTTATTCTTCTTGAGTACCCAGAGTAGGTATCCATAACTTGACGTTCATCGCGATGACCCATCTCGAGCTCGAATGTACTGGCAACTGCCTCAGCAATCTCGCAGCAGTTCTCGACCTTCATGACCCTGCAGGAGATGTTCCTCATGGCTCGCTCACATTACACACCCTCGACTCCGAAGTTCTCTTCGCCCTCGCAGTCAGAGCAACACCGAACGTCATTGAGGTGTGTCGATGCCCATTCAACGTTCCACACCGCGGTGATCTCCTGCACAGTGGTCATCGACTCACATTGCGACGATGGGACACTGAAAACGTGAGTTCCATTCCCTGATATGCCCCCGTCCTTTTGACTGATTCGCTGTCGTGCTTCTAGAGTAAATGCGGGTGTCCTGAAATTCTTTATTCTTGGGATGCGTCTCTGTCGAAATGTATTTGGGCAGGACTTCAGCTATGGATCGCACTCGAGGATGGGAATGATAAACATATAGAAGAAATGAGGGCTGCTGTTGAAGAGGGTGAACCGGTACGCAGTGAAGAGAGGCTGGGAGCTAGTGCGACAGCATTGGAGAATGGGACTGAGTGACTCGTATTCTCTTCAGCAATGTAGACGTAACATAAAGGCATGGTGTAGAAAATAGGACGTACTAGCCACTATACCATGATTGGCTTGACGTGGCGACGCACTGGGCTGGTTGGTCCCAGCACATTCCCACTTACCGAGGAGATACAGAAATATCACACAAAGAGCACCCGATAGTAGCGTATGAAATCGTTTGGTTTATTTCGTACAAGTCCATAGAAAATTCACGGCATTGTACCAACTACGTCGTGACAATTAGACATGAACTGCACCCACATCTAGTCGGTCTCAGATTCCCTATCACTAAGATCCAGCATGGCGAGATGCTCGTACAAACCAGAATCCACGACGTCTTCTACCTCGTCCATCTCTAGCTCATCCTCGTCATCCAATGCGTTCTGAATGTCGTTGAACTCCTCTACGATGTCGGTCAACCTTAAACTGCTTGCGTATGCCAGCTCGCTTGCCGACGGACCCCATTCTCATACACCAACTGATGCCTCAACCTGGCGTAAGTCTTCAATCCACCGTGCACATAGACTGGCAAGGTCGTTTCGACGGCCCTCCAGCATATAGCGTTCATCCTCGTTATCTTCGTATTGATTTTGTCAATACATGCTTGTTCAATCACGTTTTGCGCGACGTACCACTTTGATCAATGCTTAACAGTACCGTGTCCCACTCCTCCCCAAACCATATCTGCATCGCATCCCTTTCCTCCTGCAGCCTTTCTAATTCTTCCTCGCAACGGTCTCTTTGTAGCAGATACCGTATGCCAGTACGAACGTTTTCGTCCGATAGCCATAGCGGAGGCCGACCGTCTTCTGCTCGATCGGAGAGGCCTATATCTTGCCAAATGTCGTCGTCAATGTTGAGGCTGAAGAGTCCTTCCAGTACAATCTCCTTTGGAGCCACGGCGTTGTGAGGAGCTTGACCCTTGGCGATGTATCCTTGCATTTCAGTACATAGCTTGTTGTACCGACGTGCGATCTGTTGAATGCCAGGGTCCTTCTTCTTGACGGAATCTTCAATTTGATGGTGAGCGCGTTGTTCTGTAGGGTGGTAGAGTGTTAGTTGAGCTACGCAGCGTGATCAGCAAGGCACGCTTACCTGCCTGAGTTTTTCGGAAGGAATGTTCAATGCGGTCTCTTTCAAACTTTCTCGAACGAAGCTTCTGCATCAGCCGCGTCTTGAGGGCGAGGGCGTTCATCCTCGCCCTCAGGTAGGGACTTTCCAGAAGGTGCCGTACCTCCTCCTTTTCCTTCACTCCCAGCAGCTTCTCCTTCTGACAAAGGGTTTGGTTCGCACGCTTGATATCCTCCCTGCACTTAGCCAGGCGTTCCATAGTGTCCAAGTGGTCGTAGGCATCGTTTTGTAGGTTGGCCAGAGATTGAGTGAGACGAGAGGAAGTTTGTTCCAATTCGTGCGCAGCTTGTCTAAGTCGAACCACTTCTTCAACGGCCTTTCTGCCTTTCTTCTTTGATTGAGCTGACATCATCGTAAGTAATCACAAGGAGACCGGAGACCGGAGATCAACTCGTACCGGGGAGGGGTTTTGTCTGGTCCGCTACCTGATCCGTCCATTCTTTCCGCAATACGTTCTCCATGACCCCGCATGTCTTCAGCTGGTACTCTGCCTCCTGTAGCTTCACTCGCGCTTGGTGGTCCTTGCGAGCAATCCATTGTCCCAGTTGTTCCAGATTTTGCTTGTCTAAGTAATTGATCTGGATATCCAGCGTGTAGACGCGATGATGGTACTAGATGGTAAAGATGATGAGTACCCAAGCTATCATGGCAATGCCGAGCTTACCCCTGCAACCCTGAGATAGGGTATAAGCTTGCTGATCGAATGCCAAAACCGTTCACATCCTTCTCCGTCGGAGAGGCCGAAACCCTGGGTCTTTCGGGGATGATAGATCAGCTGGCAAGGCCATCCATGACCAAACGCGTGAAAGATCGAGACAGCGAAGGAGATACGATGGAGATAATCCTCCAAAAAACCCCACTTCACACAACTTCGGTGTAATTGACAGCCGATGTCGTACAGTAGGCCAATCGTGAACGTTGGTGGTAGGTGCTCGAAGAGAAGGTCAAGCAGTACTAAGACAAAATGTTGGCGTTCGCCAGCGCTGTCCATGTTTACCAGCCACAAAACGCGGTCGTGACGGCACAGGAGCCCCATCAACGTCGTGCAGTCGAAGTACTTTGTGCTGGCTTTCTCCCTACGCTCGTCTGCGGCCGTAAAACTCTCCTCACACCCATCTAAGACCGAAGTAGGAACCTTGAGCGGTCCTTCAAGTCCATCCGGCATGTCGGCTTCCTCATCCTTGCTTGACTTCTTCTTCGTCTTACGAGGGCGCAAGCGCTCAACCTTCCTTTCCATCTCTTTGACGACGTGTTTGGGCACGAACACTGACTTGTGAAACTCTTTCCGAGGGTCCCTGTGGTGCTGCTTGTTATGCTTTTGCGTGAAACAGGCGTCTACACAGACAATTGCGTCGAAGCTGAAAATGTAGATACATTAGCCCTTCTTCTGAGGGTAATAATGATTCTTACCCAGATGACGGACCTCGATCGCTATCCCCCCCAAAGCAGAGTGGGCACCTCGAACAAAGGTAATCGCTTGGCCGTTTTCGAGAGGATTCGGGCCTTTCGAAAACCACCCTTCGTCGTTTACGAGCACCTTCCTGTGTTTCATCCTCACTACTACCTGACTCGTCTCCAACAATCCTGACCCCCGGCATCTCGTCCCGACTCGACCCACTTCCACCGCCCCCTGTCCAAAACCTTTCTTCCTCATCCCGCGTTTCCGATGGGGCCCGCTCTCTTTCTTGTAGTAGATTCTCCCGCTGATCAGCGATGAGATCGTCTAGGAATGCTTCGCACCGTTGCTGAAGAGCATTATACCACTGAAGGGCGTTTGCGAATCGCCTTCTGAGTGGATCCTGGCGGGAATAATGAGCCTGCGTAGTTGAAACCGAAATCGATTTCAAACACACCTCTCCTTGTAAACGATATCCCCTGGCTGCGATGAAGTCCTCCAGCGTGGACGACCAGGCAGTTTGATTGGGCGAAACGCGTAAAAAAAGTCGCGTTACCAGATCCAGCAGCTTCATGTCCACCGCGAGTGTGGGCTGCAGTGGAGCGCACGGGAAGAGGCCCCGCTGTAGTAGTTGAATGGCAGCCCTCTTGTCGGTACAGCGACATACAAATAGGACTATTTTGTCAATCCCTGAGTCATGTTTAAACGTGGGTATCAACGACGAGGTTTCGGGGAGACTTACTATCGAACCTCACAACAGCTACTTCGAGAGAAGCTGTGTTGCCGGTGCATGTGCATGGTGAGGGCGTGCTCTTGATTTCTGGATTTATTCGAAGGTTCTTAGTCTGCCGCAAGAGGGCCATGTATGGTCCAAGCAATTGCGGTAGTATTTCGCCATTCCAGCGAGCAGCTTGGTTTGTTCTTCGTCGCATATGCAACGTCGTTATTGCAGGCTCTTCGTCCATCAGGTGAGTATAGATCGCTGGGGTTGACCGAGACTCAGAGGCTGAGTGACCTTCCGATTCGGTGCCAGGGCCTTGAGTTTCGTTGCCAGAGTCATTGGATGGCTCACGCTGGCTGGGAATGTAACTTTGGGTGAAGGATTGCCCATTGCCAAGGTAAAGTAACGCTGGAGCTTTTTTTCTTTTGCGGCGATGGTGTGGAGGTGTGATTGGAACGGCGGTGAAATCGTAACCTTTCGGAAGTTGATTGAGAATCCGTTGCCTATTTCTCCTTGATTTCTGTTTTGGCATTGTGCGTCGAGTTCTAAAAAAGTATCCAACGCCTCAGTATCTAAAATAAGAGAGACAGAAATGCACAACGCACCAGGAGCCCCGTGTTCTCCCTGTCTCTGACGTTGTGTAATAAAGACTGGTTAAATTTTGCTTACACAAGACACCTATGCTTGGCGTATATGATTTCGCAGAGAGAGAGAGGAAAGAAACCGCGGTACGGACGCTGACTGAACTCGTACTGTGGTTCGTAAGGTTCTACAGGTCTGGAGTTAACATATCAGCTTTGGATAATAAAATTCGCAGTGTCAACCTGGCTAGTAACGAGGAAAAAGAAGGACCCCTTAAACGGGGTGTCCTCCACTATCTCAGAGGAGATCTCTCCCGTCTGTGATGGTAATGGACACCCCGCATAAGGGATCCTTGACCTGTAGCGAGATTCGAACTCGCGTCATCCAACATCGAAATGCTGACCGCTCTACCGCTGAGCTATACAGGTGTTATGATAATATGGGGTTGCGCATGTCTTTATCCCAACAGAATGATCCTGACCACTCGGCGAGAGCTAGCATGACCCTTGAGACCCATCATGAACATATCCCCAATGTGTCAACAATGTGCGGCCAGTACTTGGTCCCTTATGTGCCGGCGAGCGGGCAGATCAAGAGTACCGATTAAAAGCAGAGTATCCATTGGGAGATCGGTGTATGTACAGGACTGAAACGCATCGCCAACCAGATGCCCTATACTTGCAACACCTCGCCATACCTCTGAACCAACGCTCCCTGCTGATATTTGAGCTCCCCATGGTTGTGCTTCGTTTCTAACGGATAGTAGAGACGGCCAAGTTCAATCATGTCGTCAATGAGCTCCTCTTCAGAAAGCGCCAGCGAGAAGTCGCTGACACATTGCTGAAGATAGGCGGTGAGGCCAAGCAACCGAGTGGCCCGTGTCGACACAGAGCTAACGCCAGTATTGCACCATAGACAGTCCCGGATGGACTGAAACTCCCTCTCTAAGGAGCCCAGCACGACTTTGGGGTGATCTAACGGAGAGGAGGGAGGGCGGTAAGCGGACTTCCATTCCACCAACTGCAGGTAGATGTCTTCGAAATAGTCCAGCGGGCGGTCGTTGAAATGGCGTCGTAAGGAGGACTCGAGAGTAGAAAGACGCTTCTCGCAGTATCTATAGTTGATATGTGAGCTAGGTACAAGACGAGAATGTCTGCAGACGTACACTTCGTTGTGTATACACCTTTCATCCAACTCCCACATTGCGCTTTCGCTCCATGCGCTGTGTTCCTTGGCCAATGCTATTCGGCGATTCCTACAAGGAGGGCAGATCAGCAAGCCAAGCAGGCTATTTATTACCGGCGGCAGGACTCACTGGGCTGCTTTAACTTCGTCCCAGTACTTTCGCGCGTCTTGCTTGTATGCTCGCTGTGAGACACGTCGCTGCAAAAAAACCCTCCAAACTTTTTTCCTGTCAGAGAATCAAACGTTTAGATCAAGCGGTAGAAGTCTAATCTCAACGCGTACTTGAAAGCGAAAGCTTGTGGGTCTCGAGCTTTTAGCTCGAAGAGGGAAAGGCGAGCTTGCCGTCTGGCATTGCCCTTGCGAAATGTGATGGTCATGATAAGGATCGGACGAGGGTGCACTTGGCAAATTAAGGATGATGGATAGCAAAATCTTATTTCCAAAACCAGATCTCAGGCCGGCTACTCTGGTACCCAAACGACTAGACTACAAATGCAATGGGTACGTGCGATGGTATATCTGTTTGAGGTCCTTCTCCTTGACATTCTGCCCCAGTCTATTCAAAGCGTCATCCATTGCATTCAAGACATTGACCATTTCGTCTAACGTATGGGTGAAGATGGAGAACTCCTTGATCCTGTTATCCCAACGCTCTCGCGGACGGTTTGAAGTTCTCGCGAGGTAACAACAGTCATTGCCCATCTCCTGAACATCGCAGGCCTTCGCGTACACACGCTGCAATGCAGAGAATGCAGGTGACTTGGCCGCCTCTCTTTGAGATCGTGGTAGCAACCGAGTGGATTGCATCCATCGCACACAGTGTTGAGCAAGGCCTTCGAGGAATGCATGAGGACAGTGTCCAATTTCGCGCATGAATGTGTTCTTCATTGCTTCCAGATTATCCTCGTAACCACTAATAGCAGATGCGTAAGTTCCTCATCCGAAGAGGCAGCAGCATAAGTAAGACGCACCAGATTGTCATCTCCACGTCATCGGGAGATTCTGAGCTGGCTCTCGCCACTGGAACACTGGGTGAGGGTTCTCTGGCTTCTATCAGTGCTCTCGTCTCATTTTCGCTATAATCCTCGGCTTCCTGTGCATGAGAAGACCCTTGCCGTTTACCCTTGGAGATGTTTTCGCGGCGTAGCTTGCGTGCATGAATTCTGTGAAGGTCAGCCGGTCAGCTCAAAGTTAAGTGTTTCGTGATACGTGTAGGAACGGTACTCCTGCTTTTCCATCGCTTTCAAATCCCGTGCCCGCTTCACCTTTTTGGAATGGAGAATTTCCTCACGTTTCCTACTTTCAGCGTTAGTTAGACATCGAGCAGACTGCAGAAATCTTTTCGGAAGAATGGACGTACCTGTCATAGTGGCGTTTGTCTTTAGACTTCTTCGCCTCTCGACGTTCTTCGTCCGTGTGATAGAGTTTGGGTCGTGCCATTTGAAACAATCGGCGGTAGTGAATGGTGAGAGCAGAGTCGTGAACCATCAAGATCATGTGAGCCAGCCTCTATTCGTCGAGTTTCCCGACTTTTACTCTCGACACACTCGACACACCTCATTGAGGGTATTGAGTTACGAATGGAGGTCGGTTGGCCCCACAGAATGGCGCCTGCTAATCTGTAGGAGTGGGAGACGAAGTGGTGTATCGAGCAGATGATCAAAAGTAGTAGATACCTAAACTGAGACCTGCCAGGCTTTCCGTCGAAGTAAATTTTCCCGACTTTTACTCTAGACACTTCTGCACATCATCGACAAGCGTAGAACTCAAAGACAAAGATGAGTACACCTCGAAGAACTGCGCCTGCTAATTTCGAGAGTGGGAGAGTGAGTCGTGTATCGCGAGAACGACTGAAGATAGCGAATACCTGTACTGAGAGTTACACGGCTTTCGGTCAAGGTTGGTTTTCCCGACTTTTACTTTCCACATTTTCCGCACGCCACTGACAAGCTCGAGACCCATGGACAAGGATGAGGACGCCTTAAAGAACTACGCCTGCTAATTTCTTGGAGAGGGAGAGTGAGCAGCGTATAGAGACAACGACTGGAGATAGTCAATACCTATACCGAGAGTTACACGGCTTTCGACCAAGGTCGGTCTTCCCGACTTTTACTCTCCACATTTCTTGCACACTACTGACAAGCCCAAGACTCAGGGATAATGGGTAAGGATAACTCAATATCAGAGAACTACGCCTGTTAATTTTCTAGAACGAGCAACTGAGCCGTGTATCGAAAGGGCGATCGAAAGTATCGAGTACCTATATATACTGAAAGTTGCAAGGCTTTCGATGGAGGTCAGTTTTCCCGACCGTTACTCCTTACATCCTCCACTATACTGCCAGCTCACAAGCGCAAAGACCGTTACATAGGCAGCATCTCGTCGACAAACGATGGCACAATGAAGATAAATCTCAACCACAAACACTTGACCGAGACTTTCGCGAAGGGTTCATAATCTGAAGTACGATGATAGAGGAACTTTTCATATTCGTATATCTACCGTTAATAACGACTACCGACGGTTGGTGTTTACGGGATCCTCACGAGGAGAAGATTTCATTCTGAGAGTTTTTCCCGACATGGAGAAGCTCGGCCATCCTCAATGGAGCCCGGAGGACCAGTTGTTGCGCGATCTCTTACGAGCAGGGAATGACATGGAGCCAGAACCCATTGCCACTCCTGCGTGGCCTGCCCTACCTGCGGATAACTGACCGATCCATCGGTGGGCTTCGCACTCGTATTTCGCGGTATTGGTAAGGTATCGGCACTTCGGGGTCTTTACTTCGTTGTGCATCAATCTGTTTCAAGAGTAAAAAAATTCATTAAACGATACGTCTACTGTAAGGAGATACTTGATGACTATACTACAGGGTACCTAGCAATTTACATACGGATGGGGTTGAGTGGGTCCACATGTCGTGGTGGTAAGAAGGAAAGAAAGGAACCGTGGCCGTGCAATGAGTCACAAAAGATAACGGGCCATCAACAGAAAGCACCATGTGATGCTCATCACATGGTGCTTTCCGTTGATTGCCCGTTATCTTTTGCAGGGATTGTTCTCCCACGGCTTCCCTCTTGTCATCTCTCCATCAAGATCTGACTGGCCATCATCCAAGTCTATTGTAGTAGTTGTATGAGTTTCATGATAAATAAATTCTCTTAATCAGTTCTCGAGTAAGATAACATTGTAAGTCAATTTATTGAAACAATTCAAGTAGAGAAAAGAAAGGGAGAAAGACGTGAAAGGGGGTCATGCTGCTACGCAGCGTCCGTCTCAATAAAAATATCCCCAGTAAAACATGAGGCTGACTCTCCTACAGACACAACGTGCAACATGGCAACGAGCATTGGGGCGTCCACGTCAAGACAAGCTATGGAGACAGAGCACACCAGGCGGAGAAGAGTAGTTCGAAACAGATGGATTGACGACGAAGCGGGTATAGATGGCGATGAAGAAGACTTCGATGACGATGAAGAGCAGGGTATGAACGATGAGAAAGATGGAGGAGAGGGCGACAGAATAGCGAGAAGAGACAGATCGTCTTTGCCAAGGATAGAAACGCGTCGTTTAGGTACGTTCTGACGTTTTAGCATTCGCACTCTTTCTGATATCTCTTATTCAGGCTCTAGGGGCGGAGCACCTCAGATTTTTGACGGATTGATCGCACGCGTTGAAGGTCCCCGGCCCCAAAATAGTAACAATGCAGGGAACCAGAATGAAACGGTTGGGGAAAACTCAGACAATAGTCCAGATGAGGAAGCTGGGCATTTGCGACATGAGCCTTCATTCGATCCGGAAAGTCCTCTAGAAAATGCCATGTTCAAGTTATTCGCGGAGGCAGACACGGCCCTGTATCGGGTCAAGTGCGAGGTATGTTATCCCCACTTATTGGGCAGATCTTTCATATCTAAACGGTGCGACAGCCGGGCTGTGAACTTCCTGCAATCATGTATCTCATACAACGTGCCGTTGCGGAAGACACACCAAAATCAGACCCTAATTCTGGAAATCTAGAGAGCTCGAAGTGTGAGGGAAAAGTACTGCTGAGCTCCTTGATTCGTTCGGCGTTCATGGGCAAGAAAACCGGTCACATCTACGTTGAGGTTACAAGCTGGAATGTTAGAGATCCGGTTCTACGGGAAATCTTCCACAGCACCCCTGGTCTACTGTACCCTTCCCGATATCCTGGTGGCTACCCTGTTCGGTTCCATCCGGGTGTCAAAGACTCCCTGCCTGCAGC